CTCATGAAATGTAAAGAAAACCAAAAATCTTTTCAATCTTGAACAAAGTGTTTCCCAAACATATTTGACCACAGGGCTCCCTTCGCTCTGCCCTTTGTAAGTACCTAGATTGTGCTGACCATGTAGGAGAGTGTCTGTGATTCACTGTGCGAAGGGAATAATAGACTGGCAGGTATCCAATCACTCCCGTGTAGGAGAAATTATTCTTCCTGCATTAAAGTATTATTATGTTGAATTCAATCGCAGAGTCCCCAAACTGAGGGGAAAAAAATCCAATGGGTATATTATTGTGCAGCCTCCGATCTTCCCTGATAGTGTGTTAATTCCCAGGCCTTTAGTAGCTTCGGAAAAGCTGCAGAATGCTTAACCACGGCTGCTAAGGCATAAATCAATGTCACCTACTCTTTTCTGAACATTTTGTGCTAAGATAATTATATGAAAAAGGAAACCTCTTATATCTGAAAGTCTTGTGATCTCAAATCTCTACTTTCTATAATTGGACAGAAGGCAGAAGTAATCCTTGTTCATTTCATGTGTGAATCTGACTGGCTAAGGGATGCCCAGGTAGCTGGTAAGACATTATTTCTGAGAGTGTCTGTGAGGGTGTTTAGGGAAGAGATTAGCATGTGAATTGGTGAACTGAATAAAGCCATTGTCTTCACCAATGCTGTGGACCTCATCCTGTCCCTGCGGGCCTGCTTTGAACAGAAAGGCAGAGGAAGTGTGGATTAGTTCTCTCTGGCTGCTTGAGTTGAGCAGCCATCCTCTCCTGCCCTGGGGCCATCTATGTTCCTGTTCCTGGGCCTGGGGCTCAGACCAGGATTTACCTCATCAACCCCTGGTTCTCAGGCCTTGGGATTCAGACTGAATTATACGGCCAGCTCTGCTGCTTCCCCAATTTACAGACAGCCTTCTCTGCCTGTGAGCCAATCCGGTAATCAATTTCCTCTTTTGAGATATCTAAACATATCCCATTGCTTCTGCTGCTCTGGAGAATCCTGACTAATACAGACCTCATAGGATAGCCACGCGGTGCAGTTTTATGGTAACTTACATTTTACTTATGCTTTATTTTTGTAAGTTGAAAAAATAGCCATAAAAGTACACCACCTTTTGGGAAAACTAAATTAATATATACTTTATTTTAAAATGACTCTACAATCTAAATATTCATTTTAAAAAATGTAAATAAAATTTAAAAAATAATGAAAAAAAGTTATTTGCTTCATTAGTGAGTGTACTTTTAAAGTAAGAACTGATATTTTTTCTCTAGACAGCTTGTATGCAGCACTGTACCTGACACTAATGTATTTAGCAGGCACTAAATACAGTTTTAATATAATAATACCTCTCCAAGTACATTTAAAATATAAAAATTAATATACACAGCTTTCATTACCTAACTCATCAGTTTCATGAGAAGGATTATGAATTCTTGCAGATAGGTAATATAATGTGAAACTTTCTATTAATTCAATGAAATCCAATAAAACCAATATTATTATGCCAGACACCTGGTATTTACTTAAGTTTTTGGGATAGAAAATTTGAATTTAGCAGGATTTCTCCTAAATAGACATTAACAATAAATTTGGAGATGTTTCATTATTTGTTAAATTGTTTCCATTTGAAGTGGCTAGAAATATTTGGTCATGTTATTATGTTCCATAGATTCCACTAGTGTACACAAGACCAGATACTGTGAAGGAAAACACTATTTGGGGTCAAAACCAATACTTTATAACAAATGTCTTTTAAAAGACTGTATTAAGATAAGTCTTTTGTTCTTCTTGCATAACAATAATAGAAAATATGAAATTCTATTAGGGTTGCATTAAAATTTTTATGCAGATCTTCAAATGCCCACCAGGCCATTTGACAAAATTCAAATCCTTCTTAAATTCTTACTTTGGAATCCTTCCAGGGAAAATTAGCATTCTCTTTGCAATGTGACAAGTCTACCACAAGAGGGCACTGTACTCCCAATTCATTGCAAAAGAAGCTAAAATTAGAAACATTCTGTCCTGGCTTACTGCAGATTCCAGATGTTGCAAAAGGAACGCCTACACGTGTCTATTGTACTTGGACAAAGATGAAATAGAAGCCTTGTTAGCTCAATTCTTCCAAAGGCAAGAAAACAAATGTAATGAGAACTATTGGTTTGTCAGAACTTCAAGTAATTTCTCATTCGTCCACAAGGTGGCACCTCTTCCTTGATGATAGCTGTGCTGACCCACTGAGCCAGCTGTAAATTTTTTTAGAAACTTTGTCTTGACTGTCATTTTGAAAAAATAATATTTCTGGTAAATAGAAGCTTTATTAAGAAAATTTTAAAGTTTTTTCCTCCTTAATGTCATCTAACTATGAACATTTTTTTATCTTCAGAGAATGTGTTTCTGTTAACAGTGCAATAGAGACAATCTTCACTATGTCTAAGGAATTTTCACCAGTGCCTGAGCAGAGGTTCATTAACACAGGTAATTCTGAGTCTCACATGTCTCTCATTTCCCGTGCTCGGTTCACACTCTCTCAACAAAACTGACAAAAAATCCTTATTTTAATCCAGGGGTCCTCAAACTACGGCCCGCAGGCCACATGCAAATACAAATATTGTATTTGTTCCCATTTTGTTTTTTTACTTCAAAATAAGATATGTGCAGTGTGCATAGGAATTTGTTCATAGTTTTTTTTTTAAACTATAGTCCGGCCCTCCAACGGTCTGAGGGACAGTGAACTGGCCCCCTGTTTAAAAAGTTTGAGGACCCCTGTTTTAAACAATCAGTAACAATTTATCCAGGAAAACCATGAAAAAGATAAATTCTATTTTGAGGAATATGATTTCATTACTTAGTGTTGCAGTTAGGTTTTAAATTATGCTAAGTTTATCTGGATACTTTTCTCACTCATAAGATCCTTTTTTTTTTTTTTTTTTTGCCTTTTGACTTGCACAGTCTATATTAAAGTTCTCAAACTCGAGGCATTTCTGGGCTGGATTGAAGCACTTGGAATTGTGGTTTCTTTTTGTCACATTAGGGTGACGTACTCTCCCCTTTAGGAAGCAGAAAGAAGCAGCAGGATGGGTGAGAATGGGATTATATAAGAAATGTAGACGGGTATGATGTAACAATATTGAGGAGCTATTTTTTTGTTAATCCTCACCTGAGGACATTTTTTCCATTGACATTTAGTGAGAGTGGAAGGAAGGGAGGAAGGGAAAGAGAGAGAGAGAGAGAGAGCTGGACATGCTTTGCTGGGAAAGTTGTTTGCTCCACAGCTTGTTTCTTGGAAAATGTTCCTCCACCACAACAGAGGTACAGTGGTCAATGAGCCTGGGTAATGTTTCACACTACATAACTCCTCTTGGACTTTCAAATGCACATTTACATACTAAAGACTGAGAAGTTCTACAGTAAGCCTGCTAAACTTTGTAACAGTTTTCCACGACTCTTTATATTTTCCATGCAACACAGCTCTGGCCAAGGGAGTTGAGAATCCTGCCATGAGTCTATGCAAGTGACCATTTTCTGCTCATAAATTGCCAGTTTGATTCTGCTGGATTTGGATACAACTGTTGATCCAGGTCTTGCAGGGCTAAGATGGTCAAACTAACATATAAGCGAGGTTCCTGGTCCTAATAGTCTATGGAGAAGTGATGGTCCATGATGATGAATAAGCTTTTCATTAGCTGAAAGGTTGTAAGTATAGTATTTAAAAAACAAACAAACTCCTATATCCTTCATCCAGAGTCCTCAATTGTTATCATTTTACCATATTTGAATTATCATACTCTCTTTGTAGACAGACAATAGATATAGATTGAATTCTTTTCTAAACTCTTTGAGAATAATTTGAACAAGTTGAAGACATCTAGCAATAATCATCAAAATTCTCAAATATTATAATTATTAAATAAAAATTCTCAAAAATATATAATTATTACATCTGTACTTGCACTTAAGGTAACTTATTGTGAGGAAATATTTATAGATATGAAAGTTTTAATTATAAGAATGTTAATCATAGCAATGTTGATCATATTGAAAAACTGGAAATGGCCAATATAGTCAACAATAAGCATTTAGTTGAGCAAATTGTATCAGGCAAGCAGATACTACTTGTAAACATCCTCCTGTCTGCCACTCCTCGCTGGCCTCTGTAGCCATTAGGAGAAAGTTCAAAACCCCGAATATGTCTGCCGCTGTTGACTGTACCACTCTTCTCACTCCCAGGACTCCTTTGATCCTGTTTGATACTCTTCAGAGAAACTGATCACTCAAGACACCCCCAACCTCACAGGGCCTTGATGAATATTGGTTTCATCATATGCAGGTCTCTCCTCTCCCCACCCTACCTGCTTTAACAATCAAACTGTAGACCACTGTACGTGGAGGCTCCATTTCCCCTCAGGACCCAGGTACTCCCAGCCCAGGACAGATAATGTGACTGGATCCAGTGCAGCAATGACAAACCTAGGCTGTTCAGGAAGGTCTTCCAATGTTAAGAGCAAACTTAGAATATAATCAGAATCTTACCGAGTCTTCAATAGATAACCTATTCCAATTTCAAATAGATTCAATTTCTCAAAATTCTATATATTCATAAGAATTTGTAGCAGAACAATGACAGCTTTATTCTTAGCAACATCAACTGAAAAAACAGATTCCCATTTCTCCAAAAATGCAAGCTTCCCAAAGCTGTGTATCCTTTTCTAGCCAGTATGTTTACCTTCCTTACCAAGAACAATGAAAGCAGATAATATTACATGATTTCCAAAGGAAATCATTCTACTTTGACATCTCAGATTCAGATGTCCTGAAGGAAAAATAAACATAAAATTTCAGATAGGGATTATCATATTTCTTATATAAATATTTGGATGGAAAAATAATAAAGTCTGATATAGCAGTTGTAAAATAAAAAGAAGAAAAGCTAACTATAATATATGCCTCATAAATATTACAGACATTTCATTATGTGGACAAAATTCTTAGAATCAGGAAGGAAACACACCAAAACATAACATTTATTTAAAGGACAATATAATTGGTATTGAAGACATTGTTTGCTGGGGAGAAAGGGCTTAAACACAGGATAGAAAATGCAAAGTGCTTAATTGATGTGACTGGAAACCTCAGTACAGAATCACTTCTCTCTAGGAGTGTACAAGATGCCACACAAAAAGTTACTTTCATTTGGTTTATTCATATGATCCCAACTTAAGAAATGAGGAAAGGACACTTAACAAGATTTAGCTGAACTCTACAAAGAGAACCCAAAAACTCACAAGATTGTCAATTGGTAGCAACTGTATTATAGAAAGTTAGTCTGTTACTTAATATAAAAATAAATCTACAATAGCAAGTGTGACTCGAATTGAGCCAGTAGGCAACACGTGTGACCCCGACCGCAGTCAGTGAGGTGCTACGTGGACCTCACACCCTCCTTGGCTGGCTCACACTGTCTGGCCTTTGACCTGGGACCCCCAAAAGGACCCCTGACAGCACAGGGTTGCAGCCAACTACATTTTTTCCTCGGCCTACAATCCGTTAGGTACCAGTTCTCTGTTTCCCACAACCTCTTTCCTTTCTTCCTGTTTAGTGCCAGAGCTCACGAAAACACTCACCTGGCCAGCGCTGAGCAGGATGCAGACGTACTCTGAGATGGGTTAGGGGTTGTACCAACAGACTCAGATAAATGAAGAGATGAACATGGGCATCATCAAAAAGCACCGAGGTATGGGGCCCTCGGGGAATTCACAGAAAAGGACAGAACTGGGTAACACTGAAAGGTAGGCGACCATTGTTTATGCTCAGGAAGTCACACCCAAGGAGCAATAAAGGGGAAGAAAACTGGAGTGGAGAGTACTTCCTTTGACAGTTTTTAAAAGGAATATAGAAGCCAAACCAACATTTAAAAATTAAAATAGCAATTACAAGTGTTTGCATAAATGTAATGCAGAAGGAAATAAAGAATTCTTTTACTTCCGCTTGACTTGGTCCACATTTTGATCAGGCCACTTTTGCTTTATTGGTAATGGATACATTTTATCAGCCATGTCTGAGGAAAAGGAGAGAACCCATGACATCTCTCAGGGAGACTGAGAGAGTGGGGAGGAAGGGAGTATATGAAAGGGAAGTCTCCACACTCCTCATGCCCCAAGTGTCTTTAACCCGCACATTAAACGAGTTTCCAATCACAGAAAACATCGTCACCAAGGACCACAGAACTAGGACCAGGAGTGTAGGCTGCTCAGGATGCTGCTCAGGACTGTGAGGCACACCAGCAGCTGAAGAGAGAGGCTTCTGTGCAGGGAAGAGGGAGGAGAGGTGCACATCAAGGGCTCTGCTTTGTAAGGTCTTTCTATATCTGGAGGTAAGGCCGTCATCCCTTGGATCTGAAAGAGCAGACAACGCCAATGAGTGTGTGATCAAAGAGCAGGACTGTGGCCACGCTCGCTCAGTCCTTGCACTTCTGCAGGAATCAAAGGGGCGAGGGTGGGGGCACAGATGGCTGCTGAGGTTGTCAAACATGAGGACAGTCACAACCTTAAGGATTCCGTGGGGGGAAGTGGGGAAGAGGGCCAGGCAGGTCTCTGGGACAGGGGGGATACAAAACAGGCTCCATCGCTTTTTAAAATTCTCATCTTATCCTATTCCTGCTTCACTACAAGTTTAGTTTTAGAATAAATTTTCTCTTTAAAAGAAAAGAAATCAGGAGTTTTTGGTCAACCCCAGGTAATCATTAAACAAATTATCAGATGGATCGTTGGATTTATGGGTATTCATCTGTTCCCTAGATTTCACCTGTTGTGGCTTCAGGTAAAATGTGACATCTGGTTTCCCCCGAAGATGAAAACAAGCAGGGCTTACCGACCACTCTGCGTTGTCGGTCTTGGAGCATCTCACGTTCACCGGCAGGCTCAGGACAAGCTTGTTGAAGGACAGACCTTCCTTTTTAGTCCACTTGAACTTATTCATTGCATCCATGAAGGAAAGGTTTTTATATTGCTTGGGGCTTTTGATAATGAAAGGCCAGGTCCTGAATTTAAAATTAAAAAAAACACAATTAGTAATATTCAGAATAAAAGCATTACATGTTTCCATTACTTTTCAGTAGATATCATGCTTGTTCATTTTTACAAACAAAGATGACCTAATGCAACACACTGATGAACTCATCAGCAGTTACTAGAGGAAATACATACCAAATAAGGAGGATGACATTTAAAAAAAATGAAAGTCCCTGTTTTATTGGCAGATGGGTATTACTTTTAGCTCTGAAAGCTTCCCCAGAGTCTCACAATTCCTCGCTTATTTGTTTTGGCTCTAGTTAACAATATAACTACTAACAAACAGTTCTAAATATTGAAATGCTAATAGTGAAATAAAGAAATGTGTTGGTCTTGGCTGGCATGGCTCAGTGATTGAATGTTGACCTATGAAGCGGGAGGTCACTGTTCGACTCCCCATCAGGGTACAGGCGGGAGTTGCGGGCTCCATCCCCAGTGGGGGTTGTGCAGGAGGCAGCCGATCAATGATTCTCTCTCATCATTGATGTTTCTATCTCTCTCTCCCTTCCTCTCTGAAATCAATAAAAATATGTGTGTGTGTTTTTTTTTTTTTAAGAAATGTGTAGCATCTTAAAAAGTACTGTAACTGAGATGGACATTTCAGTTCCATACAGTTGAGAAGCCTGACCCCTAGTGGCCGCCCTATTCTGGCTTGCTGACATGGAGATAAATTCAAAAGACTTGAAATTGAAAAAATGTTTTTACGATTTTACTGAGAAAAGAAATATTCTTCAGCAATGAGCTTTGCTTCTACTTTCTGCTCTAATAAAACAAACCTGTTAAATGTCCAAGAAAGAAAGAACAAATCACAGAAGAATGACAAGACCTGCTTGAAAAGTTACTCTTTGTTAAATATATTTATATTGATTCCTGAAAGAAGGAAAAGTGTAAGTGCTGATATATATAAAAATTTACATAAATTATTCCATGGGCCTTCCAGTAGATTATCATGGTAACCATCAGGTATCTGGCTCCCATGACACACCAAGATGTTCCAATAGTTACCAAATAATTAACCTCCAACTGAGGAATCTATATTTTCATATTTTATCTTCACAATTTCTTCTTTTAAACACATAATCTATTCAGGCACATTGAATATTATTTTATTAAGGAAATTAAACATCCTTTATTAATTTTTTAGATTTATAAAGATAAATTCTTAATGTCTAAATTAAAATTATTTCCTCTATACTCTGGTAAATAATACAATAAAAAACAATGCATACCATACGATGATGTTTCTATTCTTCAGTCCTAACTTCCTTTTTACCTTTAATTAAAGTCAATATATCTGTTGAGTTTTAAATGCACTATTAAATGCTATAAAGGAAGAGCAGTCAGCATCACTCTACATTAAGCATATCTATCAATGACCTAGAATCCGTAGCATTTTAATATTTAAACATGCTGTGAAGATTTGTAGAGATGCAATTCAGAATCAGTATAAAGTAAAAACTTGACTTGAAAAGTGCCTATTATGTTTATGTACAATGTCCTTTTAAATACAATAAAAGCTACATATGGGTTTTATTAAATATATAATAATTTTAAAATCAAATCCTGAAAATTAAATTTACTTTTCAAAAAGGTAATGTATCTAGCTGGAAAAAAAGAAAATCAACTTCATAGCTAGGGGAATACGGGGCGGGAGGGGAGAGGGGTGGTTATAACACACCACAAGGTGGCACTGGAATCTCTGCTAATGATCTGAGGTGGCCTAACCCCCTCTGAGTTTTCAGCAGACTTGCTGATGAGAATGAATACTGTATTATTGTACGTTGATAAAATCTTAAAAAGCTTTGCTGCTAGATTATATCAGAAAACTAGTATTTCTTGACATGAGGTATAAACACATTTGTTAACTTACTTTTAATAAATGGAAAGGATTTTAAAGGAGAAGCCCAGTGGTTCAGATGTGGGAAACCAACAGCATAGCAAGACTGAGTACTGGGGATGAAGTCACCAACCTCTCTGAGGTGGCATCCCTGGCTCATGTTTACTGCCTCCTTTCCATTCCTACTGACTTTGTTCAGGCCCCTACTCTATGACAACATCTCACCGTCACTTTCAGCCTGTCCTACACCACACTGTCAGGTTACCGCTGGAGAAAAGAGGACAAAACAGAAAGAGGAGAAAGCCTGAAAAAGTGAACATTTATCCTGAGTCCTTTTCCTTATAAGACTAAGCTTTAAACCAGAAATAGTTGACCTTGAAATAGCAAGTTCTTCTGCTATCACTGGGACTGGGAATTAGTTAGGAAGACTAGGAATGTTCTAGAAATTAAAACAATTAAATTTCTACACATCTAGGCATACTGTAAATGTCTACCCAGATAAACATTTTTAAAAGGGTATTATTTATATATTACTGTAGTTGATAAAAATAAATCACATTATATTGTTTAATAATGAGTAATTTTTCTTTGTAAGTTTAATCTAATTGATAAGTTGATTAAAAAATGTATACAAAAAAGAAATAAACTTAGACTATCCATAACAATTTGGAGGAAGAAAAAAATGACAACGTTTAGGGATTTACACCCTCTTATTTAAAGATATACTATTATAAAACTATAATAATTGAATGTGGTATTATATTAAGGCTAAACATGTACAACCATGATACAAAATTCAGAGTTCAGAAATAGTCAGTTCATGGTCAAATGATTTTAAACAAACATTCCAGTGTAATTCAATGGGAAACGGGTGGGTTTTTTCATCAAATGGTTCTTAACTTGATATCCATAGGAAAAACAATGAACCTTAGTATTTAACTCATACCACACACAGATATTTATTTAAAATATATCATCAACCAAAATGTAAAACCTAAAACTATAAACTTCTTAGGAAAATAAAACACAGGAGAAATCTTCATGACCTTGGGTAGGCACAGATTTCTTACACAGGATACCAAAAGCACAAAATAAACCATAAATGATTAAATTGACTTCAAAAATAGAGCTAAAAAAAGAAAATCAAAACACAGAATGGGGATATTATTTGCAAAAATATATATGACAAAGGACTTATATCCAAAGTATAAAGAACTCTTTAAAAATCTAAAAAATTCTGATACATCAATAATAAAATAACCCAACTAAATAATAGACAAAAATTTGAAAAATTAAAGAAGATCATATATAAAAGACCAATAATCATGTGAAAAGAGGCTCACCATTGTTAGTCACAAGGGAAATGGAAAATAAAACCACAATAAGATATCACACGACATACACATCAGAATAGATGAAATTTAAAATATTGTAAATATTGAAAGAATGTTAAGCCATAGGAGTTCTTGTATATTAATGGTGAGAACGTAAAAAGGTCCACCATTTTGGAGAAAATGATGAAAGTCTTATTAAATAAATGTAAACTTTGTACACAATCCAGTGGTTCCACCACTAGGCATTAACTCAGAAAATTGAAGACATATGTCCATACAAAGACAAATACAATAATGTTCACAGCAGCTTTCATCATAATAGCCAGAAACAGAAAACAATACAAATGTCTTTTAACTGGTGAACTGATAAATATACTTGGGTGTATCCACACAGGGGAATACTGCTCAGCAACAAAAAGGAATGGACTGCTGATATAAGTACCAGCGTAGATGAATCTCAGAAACCTCTAGGTCAAAACAACAACAAACAAACAAACAAACAAAAAAACAGGCTTAAAGAGCACATACTATATGATCACATTTTTATAAAATCTAGAAAAGATCAAACTAGTATAGTGACATAAAGCACATTCACAGTTCCATGGGATTGTCTCCAGATGGGCCTAACAGTGGTCGGCAAACTGCGGCTCGCAAGCCACATGCGGCTCTTTGGCCCCTTGAGTGTGGCTCTTCCACAAAATACCACGTGCAGGCGTGCATGTACAGTGCGATTGAAACTTCGTGGCCCATGCGCAGAAGTCAGTATGTTGTGGAAGAGCCACACTCAAGGGGCCAAAGAGCTGCATGTGGCTCGCGAGCCGAGTTTGCCGACCACTACTAGGAGAACCTATGGGGGTGATGGCAATCTCTATACCTTATTTGTGACGGGGTTACATAGGTGTACACAGCTGAGAAAACTTCCTAACAAAAATGGGTGCATTTTATTGCATGTAAGTTCTGCTCCAAGCAATTTGACTTTTAAAATAAAGGATAAAAAAGAAATAAGAATATACCAACAAGCAAATGAAAAAGGATACAACATAATGCCACAAACTTTACAATCTAACTGTTAAAGAATGAAGCCAGGAAATTTAACTGAACAAGGTTCAAGTCCTAACCCCCTTGGCACTCTAGCCGTGGTTGGCAACCCGCGGCTCGCGAGCCACATGCGGCTCTTTGGCCCCTTGAGTGTGGCTCTTCCACAAAATACCACGTGCGGACGCGCACATACAGTGAGATTGAAACTTCATGGCCCATGCACAGAAGTTGGTATTTCTACACTACTGGGAAGTGCACCGTGAGGCAGTCTCCCTAAGAAGTGAGAAGGGAGGGTTGCAGAGCTGCAGTGGCTTTGGCAGCATGATGGAAGGCCTGGGACATTCCTCCATGGAGAGGGATGCGGTCCTTACCAGTTAGAAAACTTCCTCGAATAGATTTTTAACAAAATCTGAGGAAGGGTGAATGCATGCATTGTAATATAGAGTATACAGCCCCACCTCTATACCCATAGGCCTTTACCATCAAAATATATAAAAGTAGGCATACAATATATATCACCTAAACCTCTAACTGTGGTCTGCCAAGAAAGAAAGCTACTCTCAGATTTTCTTAGAAGGAAGTCAAGAATTCACCTACATTGTGTCAAAGGTAAGTTTTAGGGAAGACTGACTCCTCAGAAGGAAGAAATGACATAACCATGCAAACACAGGGAGAAAAGGAAAGTATTTCACACTTCATGTAAAGAGACAGAAAAAGAAACTGACTCTAGAAGAAAATATAAACCAATTATACTGGAGAA